AAACACACACTGTGTTCAGATTTCATGCTCACAGACAGGCTGAATTTGTCGCCCGAAATGAGCTGGTCGTGATACTGAACTACTAGTGTTTTTTATGCGGTGACAGTTGAAAAAAACATACTGGTAAGAAAAAATAAGTCAAAATAAGTATTTGCCCACTGTTCACTCTAAACATACTGCATTAGGGATGAAGAAACCCTCCCTCTGCTAAACTGACTGGCCACTCGTTCCATCCACCTTCATCACTGAATACTTTACAAACCCACACGTTGCAGACCAATTACGTGTTTCCTCAAAATACAAATTGTGGTGTGTTACTATCTGGCCTCAATTTTGAAATGGGCAATAAAATGGCAGCGGAAAAATGTTGCTGTGCTTAATTTTACAGAAACTGTTGAGGTGTCAAGCAATGAAATAAACGAAGAAAAAAAAGGGAATTTAACTTTGCCTTTTCAAAAATCCATAAAACGCCCGTCTTTGTGCGCTTCTGCGCTATATTGTATGGAAAATGCGTTAAAGCCACACTGGTGATATATATATATATATATATATATGTATAACGTATAATATATTTATACATATGGGCACATGAGCACAAGTTTTTGTACCGGAATTACGAAAGCAAAAAGCTGGATTTTATGAACAAAATTTCTTTCCGCGCACAAGCCGTCGAAATTTCAACTATTTTTCAAATCACTGCGTATCCAGAGTTTTGAACCGAAATCCAAATTCAAGCAGATTTTCTAACATTACAGAAACTTGAGATTCTGGGACGAATGACCATTCTGTGCTTGGTCGAAAACGAGTTCTTATTTTATTTTTAAATTCTGGAAAAAAATTCTATAATATCGAAACCAATAAGAAATTTAATACTGAATTCAAAGGTCAGGGTACGCGCCGACTTTAAAGTTATTTTCAACTCCTCGGCTTCACATGCTGCTACAGGTTTTGTCCTCAAAGAAATTCTAAGATGAAATTCTGAAATGTCGTTTCCGCATGCATGCAATCCCGGAAACCTAACTTTAGCTTTAACGTACGCTTGCTTCTCATGAAACCGTAAATTGCACAATTTAACAACCGT